ACTCCTAATTGTAATCTAAACCTAAATTTGAATGGAAATAATGGCCGTTTTCCCAGAAATTGCCTTAAGTAAGGAATAGTTGAGGTACACTTATATTTTAAGTAGCCCTCAAGACTTGTTGCGTTGCTCAGCGGCCTTCAGGATCAACTCTCAATAAAGCACGGAGTACGGTCTGGCAACATTGCAATTCTGTCAAAAAAACGTCAAAAATAATCCCTAACCTCAATTATTTTATTTTGGCATTCCGGGTCCGGGCCCGGCTCCGGCATAAACACAACACAAAAAATAATTATTATTTTTGTTTCTGTTTTTAGTTGATGTGGATATTTGTTAACTCTACAGGGTGAAGCTAATGCTTCAGATGTCCTCTTCACTACTTATTCTAGATACTGTGCTAGTATCTATTCCTATTTAAATCTGCAACACTTGATAGGTGTTCCTCTGTTTCATAAAACCATAAAGTTGTGACGAGCTGGTTCAAGGGACGACTGTATTGTTCCTTCAAAAGTAAATTAATAATTAATTCATAGTGTTTTTGAATAAAAAGTACATCAGGATGACAGCTTGACAAAAAATATAACTTCTAAACTTAATGGCAGCAAATTTCCAGTTGAGTTCCTCAAAATTTTGTAGAGGGCGCGAGTGAACTTGGAGTGGTTTAAATTTTGGCGGGAAATGTCAATAGTTTTAAACCGATTAAATTGATTAAAAGGAAAGATGATTACATATGAACAATGGACAATAGATAAGTTAAAATATCTTCCAAAGCGTTCAGTGGCCCTTAGAGAATATTTTCAAATGTGTCAGCGTCAGCTTGTCTTGAAACCACACATCAAACTTAAGTTTTGAGGTTAAAATTACAATCGATTTTTTACGCGCCTAAATTTAAAGAGATCCAAGTACAGAAGCGCCCTCTTCAACTCAACTTTCAATATTACATGCCATTAATGTATGCTGCATGTGAACCTACAGGGTGTCAATTTGAAAACTTCCCACTCTTATTATCTCGGAGAAGAAAAATTTTCAAAAAAATCCCTGAAACACGTCAAGTATAATTTGAAGGGGAATTAGTTTTTGTGCAAAATTCATCTCTCCTCTTTCAACCCCCCAACCCCCCAACCCCCAGAATCATCTCCTAGAAAATCTTAAATGGGAAGAGGGGTCAAGTGATACATCATTTTGCAGGGTTTTCAATTCCATACATTTTGGTACCAAATTTCAATACCTAAGTTCAACTGTTTTGGAAATATTGACAGTTGAAAATTGACTTTTTTGCAACTTTGACAGGCTGTAAAACCCAAACGGTTAATTTTAGAGGAAAATCGTTCTTACATTATTATCTTAGATTTTTATAAACTATCATTTGACATCAACTTTGAATTTAATCCATGATTAAAAATTCTGATTCAAAATTTAATCGCTGGTTAAATTCAAAGTTGGTGTCAAATGATAGTTTATGAAAATCTAAGACAAAAATGTAGGATTGGTTTTCCTCTTAAATTAACCGTTTAGGTTTTACAGCCTGTCAAAGTTGCGAAAAAGACAATTTCCAACTGTCAATATTTCCAAAACAGTTGAACTTAGGTATTGAAATTTGGTACCAAAATGTATGGAATTAAAAATCCTGCAAAATGATGTATCACTTGACACCTCTTCTCATTTTAGATTTTCTAGGGGGTGGCTCTGGGAGTTGGGGGGTTGAAAGAGGGGAGGTGAATTTTGCATAAAAACTTATCCCCCTTCAAATTATAGTTGACGTGTTTCAGGGATTTTTTCAGAAATTTTTCTACTCCAAGATAATAGGGGTGGGAAGTTTTCAAATTGACACCCTGTATATGTTAAATCATTGTAAATTAACATCTATACTTCCATCCATTTCCATAATTGATCCGTAATTTGAGGATTAATGTTTTGTATGGTCTCTTTCCTTGTCCGAAACCTGTTGAAAAAAGTTAAATTGTCCATTTCTTCCAAGTAATAATCTCTTTCATGAGTTCCTCGTGGAAATCCGTTTTCGATAATATCGAAAACATCTAAATTATCGTTCAAAAATTTCATTATTTCGAGACAATAATCTAATTTGACTAAAAATTCAAACAAACATGCCACACCAAAAATGACAAATCAAATTTTGGGGTTAGAAATCTCTACTTTATAAACTTAAGACGCCAAATTTGGCCACTTAAGTTAAGGGGTCCTTGAGGGGCAACTAACGAGCAAAGCAAACGAAAAGCTACCGCTAAGGATTCCTCAAAACTAAGGAATCCTTAAACTATCCTTTATGAGTGCTGGGAAAATGGCCATAAGTATAGTTGCTTTAAATGCATTACAATAATTAATATATACAGCAATACTGGTGATTACAATTAAAAACATGACAATAAATTTACATGCTTAAAATAATAATAAAATGACAAAGTAGCTTAATTGCTACAAGTTCTTCCTCGTTTCTCACCATTTGCATAAAAACAGTATTCTTGAGTTTGGGAAGAGCCTGAAAGTGAGATGAAAATGGAACACCGTTGCCAAATTTCGGGTGAGAATTTTGATCAATCAAAACGTAGATTTCAATGACAATCAACTTATTTGTAGATATCTAACCTAATTTTGTCTCACAGGGTTTTTTGGGTGAGAAAATTCAAGAATAAGACATTTGCCATTTTTGGAGAGACACGCCCACTTTCTCTCAAATATCGGGGAATACTCTCTTAGTGAGATTTCAAGAATAGCCGCACAGGTGTTTTTTAAAAGGCGCTATTTAGTAGCGATATATTCCGTTAGGTACGAAGAGCCTTGAGGAAGCCTTATCGGAAGATCGACATAATCTCCATTTTTTATCTAAATTGACGTGTTCACGGGCTGACTTGTAGAACCGCGGAAAAAAAATTCTAAGTGCACCGCAACTTGGGGAACTGTAGACATACCTATAAAGTCCGTCGATTTTAATCTGATACTCGACAGGAATGTGAGCTGGTGGCACCCTACATTAGAACGCCAATGGTCACCTGGAGTCACACCTATTTTTGCCATATAGTTCACCCCTCGCTCCTCATACGGAAAATGTCAGATTGAAAACGACGGACAATACATAAAGAATGATATTGTCAACATTTCTGCGTCTTAAAATTCTTGGAAAGAGGTCAATTGAAAAGTGTAGGAAATGAAATGACAATAAGTAAAAATAAGTGGGAATACTACAAGTCTAAGGCTTGTGTCATTCATTCCATTTTTTTTTTTGGCAAAGCACAGGAATCCCAATTTTCTATGGCAGGTCTGGTCGATTTGGCGTATTATTTATAGACGATCTCTTAAAATATCTTTTTAACAAATGCACGACTTACACATTACCTGACAGCTAATTTATTTCTATCAACAATGTAATATCTCTTCTCTATATTAACTTTATGTGGCTCTTCCAATATGTTTATTTCCTAAAAATTCGTGTTACTTAATTAGATAAGACATATACATGAAAAACTAGTTTGGAAAATTTTCCCTTGATTATTCTTTCGAGCGTTTCTACTTCAGCTAATTCTAGACACTATTTTTATACTTATCTACAATTACATGAAAATGTCAGCACATTTCAACCATACTTAAGTAGGCGAAATTAAATCACCCAATACACAGGAATTTTAACCATTAAATTTTGTTTTCTCATTCTATTCGCCTAAATCGTACAGAGAGGACGATCGAATTATGCTAATTGGAAAACTGTAAATTACCGAATGATGGTGGTGAAAATAGAATCACACGGGCGAATGAGTTCAAACGCGGTAAACTTTTTATTTCGATTGGCACTTATCCAAAACAAAAGCGAATACCTTTTTTTATTACATTACCTATAATACAAGACGTTATTTAGCGGTATTTGAAAACACATTAAAGACGACTTTATGTTCACTTTTATGACGTTTTTAAATGAAATTGAAGTGTTTATGAGTTCTGAATAATTGTTCACGTGCTTGCAATTCTGCAATGCAATTATTTTCAACTACTCAATGTTAACATTAATAAGTACTATTAAGGACCGGTTTATTCACCTTCTGATAAACTGTCAGGTAATGTAATCTGATGGATAAAAACGCAATCGGTAATCTCATTGGTCGGCCATATTAATATGTGTCGGAACCATCAGACGACCATCATAAACTCGAACACGTTAGTTCGTAAAGGGCATATTATAAACTTTCTAAAAAAGTGACAATTAAAGGATTATTTGGCTGAAACTACGGTGACGCGTAGTATTCAAAATTCTCGACCTTGCTTTTTCGAAATTAGAAACGTAACTTCAAATTTATATTTCAATATTTAAAGTTAATGTCACCATATTTACTTCTAACATATCCACAAATTTTAATAATGATATTCATACAAAAGCATTTCCAGAAATTATCGTTAACATTTAGGCAACGACTGCCAACACTTGTCAGTTGCCTGCTAATTTAAATTTTAAATATTTAAAGAGAAGTAGGTACCTATCTCATAATACGCATTTAAAATGCTAGAGAGTAATAATAAAAATAGATTAGAAACAATCTGATGAAGAAACCATATAAAAGCCAAGCTTACCAGGATTTGTGATAGATGCCTATTTTGGGATTTTACAACGTAGGTACCTACTTTAAGCACTATTAAAGTCATAAAATTACTCCAGATAGTTAAATCTTGAGAGAGGATTAGGTACTTAATTAAAATTCATTGAAACCTTTCATGTTTTAGAATTAGACGAAAGTTTAAAAGTAAAGATTTTTCCTAAAATAGAATATTGCTTCGTGGGCACAAATAATGGGGAAATCCATAAAAAAAATTAAGCATACATTGCGGTTATTCATTTCCATCTAAGCGATATTGTATCGAGAGAGTTATTATGGGTAGGTAGGTAAATACCTACGTTTTGTAGCATAATATAAAACTACTTATTTTCCTTTAGAATTTAGTTTTTATTTTAATTTAAGCATATGAAACCTAAGCAGTAAAGAACAAAAATTGAAACTTACCAAGGATCCTGTGCTGTATCTCTTCATTTTATCACTGGAAAACTCTTGGAAATATGTGGGTGGGTTGAACATCATTAATGGATATGGTTCGTAACCTAGAAAGAAGAAAAAATAATTATTAAATGCAAATAAAATGGTACCGATATTATATCATGTTTAAAAATTATTAATAAAAGCCAATTTTGTAGCGTTTGAAACAAGAATGGTGAAGCCAATTCTGTAAGAAACTTCAAACAATTAACTTCAGTACTGTATTAGTACTTGCGTGGTGTAAATTCTATAACTATTATTATTATCTACTGGTTTCAGCAATGATTCCAATTCAGTGAATGAAAGCAGTTCTATTATTAGATACTGGTAAGTACCGTAAAGTCGGGTGACTTGAGACGGTTGGGTGAGTTGAGACAAAACTTTCGAGGAAACCGAATATATAACTGGCAACAATGTATCCGACGCATTCGGGCGCCAATCGTATTTATTCCGCCCAAGGGTTGTCCAGACGCGCTTCAGTAATGTTTGCACCGCTGCAGAAGTGATTATTTAATTTCTGTGCAGTTTTTTACGCGCGCATGTATTTGTTAAAATAAAATATACCCGAATAACTTTCCATACTGCCGCTATACTGTGTAGGACTGTCTATTGAAATTTTACACAAAAATACATTGATATTTTGTGCATCTTTTGGTATATTGTAAGTTACTTTTTCTTTTTAAGAAAAAAAATTATTTACATGAAAAGGTGAAATGGCGCTTGTTGCGGGTGACTTGAGACTTGTCTCAAGTCACCCCAAAAGTATTCAGAGTCTTATTATGTGCCTGTTTCAATTGTTTTTATTGTGTTTTCAGCCTATCATGGCGAAATACAAAAGAAAACTTGGCAGCAGACCTTATGCTGACTATGATAGGGAAATGTTGAAACGGGCGATTGAAGAGCGGAGAAGAACGGGTAAATCTTATCGACTTTTATCTGGAAAATATGGAATTCCAAGATGCACGATTCAGCGAAAAGTGAATCATCTGAATACGAAAAATCCCGGTGGTCAAACGGTCTTCACGGTGGAAGAGGAGCAGAGACTTGTTGAAAACTTAGAAGTTGCTTGCCGCTGGGGCTTTCCAATTACGGGCAACGACTTAAAAAGTTTGGTGAAGTCGTATGCAGATGGAAAGGGTGCGCAAAAATTCAAAAACAATAACTTGCCTGGAAGAGATTGGGTCCGGCTTTTTTTGAATAGACATCGTCAAATTTTAAGCACTCGTTGGTGTGAGAATATCAAACGTGCCAGAGCTGGAGTCAACAGCGTTATGCTTAACGCCTATTTCGATGAACTAGAAGTAAGCCTTGAAGGGATCCATCCCGATCTTATAATTAACTATGATGAGACAAATTTATCGGATGACCCGGGAAGAACTAAAGTTATTGCAAGGCGCGGATCTAAACACGCTCACCGAATCATCGACTCGTCCAAGACCAGTAATTCAGTAATGTTTGCTGGTAGCGCTTCAGGAAACTTATTGCCTGTTTATATAGTGTACAAGGCAGAAAATCTGTATTCCACCTGGACTGCAGGAGGCCCCACTGGAGCAAGATATAATAGGAGTAAGTCTGGCTGGTTTAATGAACCATTATTCGAAGACTGGTTCATGACTGTTGCATTAGCATATTTTAAAAAATTCCCAAAAGAAGCCACCAAAGCACTTATTGGAGATAATTTATCAAGCCACTTGAGCGTAAATGTTATACAAAAGTGTTTAGAACAAAATATAAAATTTATTTTGCTTCCACCTAATTCCACTCATGTTTGTCAGCCTCTGGATGTGGCATATTTCAAACCCCTAAAAACTGCCTGGCGAGACAGTCTTTTGGAGTGGAAAATAAAGAACAGAGGAACTGTACCAAAAGATGTTTTTCCAAGGCTTTTGAATAAGTGCCTTAACAAACTCGATATTAATAATAACTCAAAACGCAATCTTCAGGCAGGTTTCAAAGCTAGCGGAATTTTTCCTGTTGATAGGAGTGCAGTGTTAAAACTGTTGCCAACTGTTGATGTTGTTGAACCTGAAAATATCAATTTGGACAGCGCTGTAATGGATAATGTTTTCAAATCATTTATAAAAAATCTTTACATGAAGGAAACTTTACCGACAAGGCCGAGACTCTCAAAACAAAAATTAAAAGTAAAACCAGGTGCCAGTGTTACAAATCTAGACGACGATAAGGAAAATCAGGATCCAACTTCTTCAACCTCAAAAGACGTCATGGACAAACATCTTCCAGATGAGGAGGGGTCTGGAGAATCTCTTCCATCATTTATAATTCAAAAACAGAAGACCAAAAAATTGCTACAAAGGAAAAATGTATCTGAATCCGACTCAGATTCTGAAACATGGTCAACACAAGATAGCTCGGACACCCCAGAAAACTTTGATGAAGAAGAAGAAGAAGAAAATACGGATTTAATGAACATCGAAGAAGGTGAATTTGTCTTGGTAGAGTTCGCCTACAGCGCACCAGGAAAGAAGATTGTTCAAAAGAAATTTATTGGACAAATCATTGAAATTATATCTAATGGATTATTTCTCTGTAAATTTTTGCGGAAAAGCTCAGGTGGAAAAAACATATTTGTTTTCCCAGAAGTCCCAGACACTTCAGAAATAAATATGAAGCAAATAATTTGTCGTCTAAAGCCAAGTGTCATCAAACGAGGGAGGCACGTTTTTCCTATCGAAGTCTAGTGACGTAAATACTAATTACTCTTAAGTATTATTTCGTTTATATTAGTTTTAAGAATTGATTTATAGAGAAACATGTTTATTTCTTGTTATTTGTTATAGAAATGTCTCTTATTTTGTTTTTAAGAAAATTGAATTTAGTTTTTTACAGTTTTTCGATAAATAAACTATATTTAAAACAATATTTTGTTTTTTCTATGAAAATTTATATTGTAGATAGGTTTACTACCTTTTAAAAAACTTATTATTTGTCCCAAGTCATTCTTTTGGCTTGGAACATGAGCAAAACCTTGAAATAAATGGTTGTCTCAAATCACCCACCCTAGCGTCTGACATGAGACAGTCAAAAAAACAAAAAAAAACCTGGGTAACTCATTATTCACATAAAATTCAACTTATAAAACCGATTCTACGGGTCAAGACTCAACTTTTGACGTGTTTAAGTCATCGCTAAGTTAAATAGTTTCGAAAATATCGCTTGTTGAAAGTCAAAATCGTCTCAAGTCACCCGACTTTACGGTACCCTACAAGTGGCCCGGTCGCGTATAGCAGAATACCTCTCAGATATGGACGATAACAAACAAATCAGAAATCCAAGGCCAAAAATAGCACGACACTGACTGTTATACCTTTGTTAGAGTCGGCTGACACTCACATCTTCAAAGCCATCTAGCCAAAGTGGAAGATTAAGGCGCTTCTATAATAGGAAATGTTCAACGAAAGCTCCCAACCTACACCAGTCACCAAGTTAACGGTGGACATTGGAGAAAGACTGAGGGTGGAAAGAAGGAAAGACGCTGGCCTAAAGGTAATGACCAACGCAACAATGCACAAACTCCTAATACGAAGGAATATCGGAATATCTACAGGAATTGGAAGCGAAATAAATGGAAAAGTTGGATATCGATAGGGCTCAGCGAAATAGGAACGAAAGCAAAATCGTACACAAAATTGAGGACGGGCAACAGATTTTACCACAATCCAAACCAATAGAATCCAACAAAAAAGGCATTACGTAATAATTTGGGGATCTTAATGCAAATATAGGAAAAAAAGAAGAAGCGGGAAGATCCGGAATGGTTCTTCAGCTTTAGTGAAATATTGTGTAGGTATCAAGAACAGGAAACAGAAAATGGGCCTGGATCAGTTAAAACAAAGACGAAATTGTACCATCACAAAAAGACAAGAGACATAACCGTAGTGAATCGATTCGATTCCCAACCCGTAGTGATCACAGGATGTAAGGGCTAATAAAGATATAGATGCACAAATAAAAAACGAAAAAAGGCAATAAAGAAGAAGTCAAGTTAGTTGAAACATACTACCCATATAAAAATAATATCATTTATATTTGGAAGTAGGTATTATCTAATAACTTGATAAATCGAAAAACAGAGACAAATAAAAAAAAATCAGTGCCTGACACCTTTAATAATTGATGTAGGATTTCAATAAATCAGAAATTGATCCAGATACAAGCGAAGGTGTGTCGTTATAGCACTCGTATCTAAATTGATAATTCCATTAAAATGTTTTCTAAAAAGTTACATCGAATACCGATTAAATTGTGTTTCCCGAGAAACCTTGAGAAATGAGAGATTATGTTAATAATTGTGTGCACAGTGTGAATATCAGTTTACAAATCTAAATTTGACTTAAATATTTATCACATTGATATACATTTCGAATAGTAGGTATAAAGTGGGAAAAATTAATTTAGTTTTTCATAAATGAAACGAGAAACAATTTCCCAAATAACCCATATTAATATTCCAGGCAGAAACCGTTCCAAATATCAAACGAAGCTATAAAAGAGCAATAAATTAGAAACAAGTCCATCCATCATTTTTATTTGAGTTTCCTGGTCCCAAATTATTAAAATTCCAATTTTTCAAAATGATTGAAGTATTTCAGCCAAATATTTCAAATCAGCATAGGGTTTCAGTCTTGGAGAAAACTTTTTCAAAAAATTTTAAATGTTTTTTGTACATAAATAAATCAAACTTATTCTCTATTATTACTTACTATTAACGTAGTAGATTCCATTCTGATCAACAAAACCGTTAGGGAACATAAATTGAGATTCGTAATCCAAATCTGTAAAACAAATTAAACAGTCAAATACTATTGATTATTGGAATATAAAATAATTACCTGTGGATTGATGGTCGGGAGTTCCATTTTCAGTGGAATTACCCGTGGAAATTGTAGAGTTACCGGTGGAAGTTTGAGTTTGATAACTTTTCGGTTTGTTCAAGTAACCCTTCTTAAATAGAACATCTTGCCTAGGAGTTGTGATTCGCGTATATTCATCTGGAATAAAAAGAATAAAATAAAAAATCTTGACTTTTCCATGTTTTTTGTTTTGCGATTATTATTCTGCATGTACAGAATCAGCTGAAAATTGTTGATCTTTAACGTTAAACTGACTCAACATTAGGTAGTGAGGAATACCACCAGTGGCGGACCTAGGACCTTTGGGGCCCGACGCAAATTTTTTTTTTGGGGCCCTGTCATGCTTTTTTTAGGTATTTTTCTTGTGGTGTTGGGCTGTAAAGTGAGTGTGCGGAAGTTATTTATATTTTTGAAGTTTTTAACAACCAAATATAGAAATAAATTTAACAAGTTCATCAAGAACATATGAGACAGAAAACACATTAAACGAAAAAAAATATTATAAAAATTTAGGAACTTTTTATCTGAACAAAAAGAAATACATCATAGTAGTACCGCACTGCACTGATGATGTCCGTACTCCACCGACAATAGGCAATTTTTTGCGAGGATAACCAAGCATAATCTTTTGCTGGATTATATGATGTGTCATTTGTATCATACTCCCCTAACTCCCCCACCATCAAATTCTGGGATACTCGAGGATCAAGACAAGAACACCTAATTTCTTCTGAGAGAACAGATCGAGAATCACCTTTTCTACATTTAAAATCGACGAAAAAATTAACACTAGCACAGCCTGAATCGCAAGCATTCCATCGAGGTCTGCGGGTGACGTCATCACTACAAGCGGCTGATAGTAGTGACGTCACTCACAGGCCCAGAATTTGATGTAGAGGAAGTTAGGGGAGTATGATACAATTGACACATCACATAACCCAGCATAATCAGATTATGCTTGATTATCCTCGCGAAAAATTGCCTAATAGCTAAAAAAGCCGCCTAAGGTCGACGCGTCCACGGTTGCCGCATTATCGCGTCGAGTGCATCAGGGCTGGGATCACGACATTCTACTAGAATTTCTCTGTTATGACGTCAGGTACTTGTCATGATTCCAGCCCTGGATTCCCTACAGGGCCTTCATTGTCGAAACAGGAGATAAGCGTTCTGTCTTATTTGCCCAGATTTCTATTTCCATAACACTGACAAAGACAGAGCAATCGTCCTTTCTCGTAAGAACGCTGTTCCCCGGTTTCAAGAATAAGCATCCTGGTATACAACGTTGCCGTCTCTTTCAAAATTTAATTTTCTTTTTTTTTTATATCCACGAGTTTTTTTTTTATTTGTTTTTATCGGTCCCTTTAGAATCTGGTTGTGTGGGGGCCCCTCAGCTCTGGGGGCCCGACGCACAGTGCGTCGTTTGCTTGATGCTAGATCCGCCACTGAAAACCACCTATTTAAAATATTATTTCTTTGAATCAACTTAAAAAAAAAAACGACTAGGTACTATAGAGAAAAAAAGTAAATTTGGCAACCATGTATGCGCCGTCAAGTTTAGGGTTGAATGGAGGCGCGCCACAGAAAACGAAAGTACCGAAACCGAAGACGCTAGAATAAGCGACTAGACTAGAGAGAAGACGCTTGTCTGCCATTGTTCATTATTCAATTTTTTTTTTGTATTAAACTGATTGTTCAATCCAATTTGTGATTAGTGTGTGTGTCAAGGAGCGATCACAGGTCAGTTGAATAATTGTTATTTTGTATTTGAGAGTTCAATTTATGCAAGTTTTTTTTTTTTTTTTTGCTTGTTTATAACATTTTTTTATAGCATGTTCATTGTTCATGTATTTACCAAAAATCGTTTCATGCTGTAAACAACACAGATAAAGGGTAAATTAAAACCAAAGAAAGTAAGTGCTATATTTTATGCTGGGATTTTGATTTTGGATTCAGAGCGTACATTAGGACCTTGTTGAATTTACTAACATTTTCCTATCCTGACGAGCGAATATCCTAGCAAACAAATTGAAATAATCGGTCTAGAGATATTGGCTCAAAAACAACTATTGCTGAGTAGCTTCTCGTATGGGACCTCAGTACCTACCTGCTGGTGAAACTGGCTAACTAACCAAAAAAAACTCTTCGGTATTGAATATTGTGTGTGGAATTAAAATTATTGTGTGAGGAATTAAAATTTTAGCACAAAGACAAGAATGATACCAACCTAATTTAAACTTTTATTGAATTATTGAATCATTGACTTAAATTATTGATTATTGACTTAATGACTCACAATTATTATTAAAATGAGACAGCATGTTTCGATTTTTGATGAATTGAGATCGAGGATTTCTCTACCGTGCTCTTTCCCCTCTTGAATTCCAGGACTAGAACGGTACGATTTACTTTAATAATAAAGTAGACGTTTCACAAATTTTTCGTTTCTTTTACATATCTTAACCTCCCTTAAATTTTCCTAATATTTGCTATGTCAGGCGCATGTCAAGTAAGTAAAATTGAGTAAGTTTCCACAACGTAGATCCTATTTGTTTTTCATTTCGTTTTTTAGAAGATTTGTTGTTTAAAAGGTAATAGAAATTCACACCGTTCAATTTTGCTGAACGAACCTGGGAATGTTATACTACAGTAGGTAGAAAATATGTAACTGCTAATAAAAAAATGTTTAAAACTAACAAGAAACGAAAAACTTTCACATAAATCAAGTGAATATATTATATTTCCATGAAATCACGTATTAACATTGAAGGTAACAAGGCTTACAGTTTTAAAAATAGTAGATATAGATAGATAGTGTGCTTTATTGTCATAAAAACATTACATTTTGTTTCGTGGACAAAGCAAAACTCAACAACTAACAAAACAGTATTGTGGAACTTCACACGAAGTAAAGTGAAGAAAAAGAAGAAGAACGATGAACGCAAAGACAAAGAAATTGATGAGATAAAGAAGAAATCTTCTAAGTGATGGGAAGCGGCATAAAACGGAATATAAAGAAATCAATAAAATCAAATTAAGTTTTGAAGAAGACACCAGAGAAGACAATAAAGTCCCATGATGCCCAAAGCCAATACTCGGAACCAACAAAACTATGTGCATGGAAACTGAGGATGAAACTGAAGAAATAAACAAGAACAGAATCGCTTCAGCAGTGTAAAGCTTCCATCGTGACCTTCATAGTTGGAAGCAAAAACCGAAGGTAAAAACACAAATAGATAACCAGCGAAAAATAGAAAATGTCGGTTGCGAAAATATACCAGATATAGAAGAATTTGAGATCGACGAGAAGGCAATCATCAACGATCTAAAAAAATAACAAACCATCAGAAGATGAAGTAGTAGCTGAAATGCTGAAGGAAGAAAAGAGTCTTTGAAAGTAATGATAACCTCGTAATTCTGCTTTTCAGAAGAGATATGATAGGACTGACATCAAAAACAACCGCCCCATTTCGATATTGGCTCAAATGGACAACGTGTTCATGAAAATCATTACCAAACCGCATATCACCTTGAACGGACAGCTCAATCCGTTGCATAGGCTGGGTTACGCCATGGTTTTAGTACTTCCGAACATCTACCATAAAAAAGTCGGCTACCCTCAATCTCACTTTCATGGAGTGTGAGAAGGCACCCAATGGTATTGATGAGCTATGAACCATGAAAACCATCCACGGTAATGCTGAGATTCAGAGCATATAATATAATCTAGTGCAGGAAATGAAGACATTAGACGGCTTCTTTTTAGAAGGAGTTGTTGAAAGACTCTCACTGTCCCCACTGCAGACCCGAGTAAATAGTGAACTTCTCAAATATGTCTCTGTCAAGGGTCACAGACATTGTGATGGTAATGCAACATAGTTATCTTAGAATTTGCCCCTTCTGAGCTGCATTTCGCGATAATGTCTCAAATGATTGAAGAGATCACCTATGAATCTCTTGTTTAGATGGTATAAGACTAGGGAACTGAGAAGCAACCAACAGCTTATGACATCTCATGATACTAAGATTATTTTTCTTCCTGCACCCAAAACTGTCCATTGTATCCAATCAAATAAAGACGCTAACTGCTACACTAAGATTATATGAAACACCGTTGTGAGCGAAAGTTCGCAACATGGACTGCGACTTTGCTTCGGAACTAAGAAAGTTGGGTACGGCGTTAACAAAAACAGGTTCTTCAGACAACATGAGTTGGAAAATAGTTGGTAGGTATGTCGCCAAAGGAGACTAACCAAAGGTCCAATGAGGCCAGTTTGTACCATATCCAGAATCCAGAAGACGCGCAGTGAATATGTGACAATGAGATATTTATTCGAAAACAGGTGGTCGATAATCATAAAGATCGCAAACTATTTTCATAATGTTGACTCCCTCTATTCTAGGTAGGCTTTACACTTAGGTTTTTTTATGGATCTATCACACCTAATGCGATCGAAGGCCTTGTTCTATAGTCCAAGAAAGAGATGAAACGGTCTTGGTTTAATCTAAATAATCTGTACTGGCCCTCAGTTTCACAGGGACCTTAACCTTCGTCTTCCCGGGTGGGGTACAAAATGTACCCCGGAAAACAATTTTTCTAGCATATTTTCCCAAAAAGCGCATATTTTTTGTGACTAATTTTATTTTGTGTCGGTAAAGGCTTTGCACATAATTAGTGATCATCAAAAATTTTCTATTTATTTATTTTTTAGAAATAATAACTTTTGCATAGCGTGGAGCACATGTACCCAATGACGTACCCCGCGAAGAAATCTGTGGCTACTCTATCAAGTAGTCACCTTGCAGGAAATTTGCAGGTTGGAAATAGATTTCCAACCTGCAAAATTTAGAAATCACGATAATAAAGCTAATCAAGAAGTATCTGTGGAACAGGCAGAGAACGAAATTTTACGGGAAGTAGAAGGCGGAAAAATGATTTATAAATCGAAAGATGGCACGCATTGGTCGAAAATAACATTTCCTAACTTTTTTTTTTCGTTAACTGTACGCTATAGGTTGATTTTATCTATTATAACTGTTTAGTATAAATAAAATCATGTTTAATTATGAGAAGTATCATTTTTATCATGGGGTACGAATCTACCCCACGTGGGAATCTACGTAATTTTTTTTTACGTGGG